ACAAATCCTTGATGATAAAGAATTAAACATTATGCAAAAGACCATAAACATATAATTAAGTAAATTGGTTCTCAAGCTTTCTAGCGCAAATTGGCATGTAAATTTAGAACAATCAATGATGATTGATGATGAGAAAGCAATTCGCATGCATTTAATCAATAGTGTAATTTAAATTTAAAAAAAAAATAGAATTTTATTTCAAGGTTTCTTTGTGTATTAATATCATATAAAAAGTTTATTGGCATGGACTTTAAAGTTGTAAAAATTTTAATCGTCATTTTATTCTGTTACTATGGAAATTATTGAAAATAATAAAGGAGGTCAGAAATTGTGTTTGGAAGGGTATATGTATACAAAAAAATTGAGTAGAGGAGCAACGATTCGTTGGCAATGCTCTAGAAAAACATTTTTCAACTGTTTAGGAGCAATTTCAACAAACATTGAGGTAAATAATCAATATATCTTTTTATTTGTTAATCTGATATATAAATATAAATTCATTTCAATATATATATATATTGTCTTTACTAAATTATATAATTAGATTACTGAAATAAAGTGTCTGAAAGAACACAACTATGTTTCAGAACCCGAAGAAATTGCAAAAGCGAAGGTTTTGAATGAAATGAAAAAGACTGCTATACTATCTTCTACGGCCAAACCGAGCCAAATATATGCAGACGCTTTATCGGGGTTAGATGAAGAAGACAGAGCAAATGTAGGCCATAAAGATCACGTGACAAAAACAATTAGAAACCAACGCCGCAAAAATATTCCAATTGAACCATCCAATACAGAATTCAAAATACCAAAAGCTTGGCAGATGAGAGAAGGCAACGAAAATGTCATCATCTACGACAGTGGAGCCAATCCATTCAACCGGATAATTGTTTTTTCGACATTCGTGCAATTATAACAAATGGGAAGAAGTACTAGGTAGTTACATTTTATTTATTTAGGAAGAATGCGGCTTATTAAATTAATTAGTTACTTCGAAATTGAAGTTCCATCTGTAATTAAACCACTTCGCTTATTTTTGATATATATTAACTATTATATATTTGCAGATGGTTTATGGATGGTAATTTTAGCTTGTCTCCAAATATTTTTCACCAACTGTACTTTATTAGAGTTGCCTATCTTAACCATTATGTAACATGCGCCTATGCCCTAATGACATCAAGAAATCAGGCGTCATATGAAGAAGTTTTTAGGGCAATTAAAGATAAGGCGCAAGAACACAACATAATTTTGGCTCCAACCACTGTTATGTTAGACTTCGAAATTGCCCCCAGACGTGCCTTACATGATATCTTCGGTGCAAACGTAGAAGTTGTAGGATGTTTTTTTCCATTTGACACAGTCAACATGGATAAAGGTATAGTTGCATGCTTTGTTAACTATTTTTAATCAATTGTCATTTTGCCTGTTTGAATGAAATTTTGCTATGGATTTTTTATTTTTTATTTATTTGTTATCTCAAATTCAGATAGCAGAGCTAGGTCTAACAACCATTTACAAAAAGAGGGATGATGTTAGACATTTTGTTGGCATGCTAGATGGCCTTGCTTTCTTGCCAATAAACCGTTTGTATGATGCCCTCCAACACCTAGAAAGGAATATTCCAGATGTACCCGGACTAGAAAATCTTTTCATTTATTTCGATAAAACATATGGTAGAGGGCCCTTCAGGAACAACAACAACAATAATAATATCAACCAAATTAGGTTGATCCGAATGCCTGCTCTATTTCCGCCCGAAACATGGAACGTTTTTACGATAACATTAAATGGTCATGAAAGAACTAATAACGTTTGTGAAGGTTGGAATAATAGTTTCCACAATTTAATTGGCCATTTTAATTCATCGTTATGGACTTTAATCAGTGCCATCAAAAAAGATCAAACATCTGCTCTAACATCTATTGGTCAAATTGACCGAGGAATTCAAATAAATAAGCCGAAAAAACGACAGTCAAAATATTTCCAAGAAAGAATGGAACGATTGTGCAAAGACGTTAGAGATGGCCGAAGATCTACATTGGAGGCTTTAAGAGCCATAGGACACTGTATTGTGTTAAATAGGAAAAATTTACCAATGATTTAAGTGTATTTTATGCGATAGACATTTATAGAAATATTTTTTATTTGTCATTGACCTCTAAACATAATTTTTAAAATGTTTTTGAAGGTAATTTCGTTGAATAAATTTTTTTTTTAAGACTTTTTTCTTGAAGACTTTTTTTCTTGAAGACATTTTTTCTTGAAGACATTTTTTCTTGAAGACTTTTTTTCCGAAGATATTTTTTCTGAAGACTTTTTTTCCTGAAGACTTTTTTTCAGGGATTCGTTTTTTGAGAGGTCGTTAATGTGGAACTTTATCAAATGCTTTCGCGAAGTCTATGGAGTTTTCACTGCCAACATTGTCGTATACTTCCTCAAAGAAACCCAAAAGATTGGACAAACAAGAACGCCCCTTCATGATCACGTGCTGGCTGTTTTCTGTTATTTTGTAGTTCGCCAGATAATTAACTGAGTTGCTCTTCACTAATATACATGTTAAGCTGACTGGTCTGTAGTAGCTGGTGTCGTACCTGCTCCCTTTCTTGAATATTTCTCCAGTCTCTTAGTATTTTACCTGTTTTGATTTATTCTATAAATATTTCAGTAAGTGTTGTTCCAATTTCATTTCTCACTTCTTTTAAGAATTTGTGGTGTAGTCCGTCTATTCCAGAAGTTCTGTCTTCCTTCAGAGATTCGAGCGTCTTTGCCACTATATCTTCAGCAATATCCACGCTGAGTATTTGTTCTTTGTTTGTCATCAACAGTATTATAGGGTATGGGATGCATGCCATGTTTTCTTCTTCCAGTACAGTATTTCCGCAGTTTCCCTGTCATCTGTGACAATATCGCCTATTCATATGATTGCTTTCAAGTAAAGAATTTAATGAACAAAATGAAAAAAGTATTTAAAAAGTAAAATTTCATGACAAGATTTCTACTGAAGTTTATATAAGAAAAAAATACAGTACAGGATTGATTTTAATTTTACAGCAAGCTTTCCATAATATTTTATTAAGCACTTTTTTAAAGGTTTTGTTGTTTACTGAGTAAAAGTGGTGTTAGTTTGAATTGTTTGTTCAATATTATTCTATGTAGACAACTTACGCCTGGCGTGCTAAGGTCTTACCGAGTATTTATTATGTCCGTTATTTATACTTATACTTAATACTAAATAATGATGTATACGTCATTAAATGATGTGTGTGCATTTTGCAATATAACTGTTATAACGATATAGTCATGTAATATCTGCCATGCAAGTGCAAGGAAGAAAGAGACCGTCTCGACGTCGAACATTTGAAAAATTTGAAGAACAAGACACAATTTTAAAGGCGGCAAGAAACAAGAAACCGCGTTTGTTGAGTGAACTTGTTGGCAAGGGTAGTTCATTTTTTTTTAAATTTTAAAGCCAACTGTTTTTTCTCATTAATTTTAAATTCAATTAACTAGTCATGAGAATTATAATTCTGAAATATATTTCCATTTTGACTTGATTGATGAGAGAAGTTGGGAAGTTATCAGGTTTTTGTTCAGTGGAGCTGGAGAGGGTGAGAGAGCAACAAGGCTTCCAATTCAGTTATGAATTTAAGTTATTTGAAATAACAAAGTCTCTTACATCTTAATTAATTAATGGAGTCTTTGTATTTTTGCATTATCTTTTTTATATTATTATTTTATTATATTTATTTATTTATATATTTATACTAGTTTATTATTTATTTTACATCTTTGTGAAAGAAAAAGATATTATATTTTTTCATTAGTTATTCTCGATTCTATTTATTGTTTTTTTTTTTATTATTTTATTTGTTAATTATTAAAAGTGTGTTGATATTGAAATATATAATATAATATAATACATTCTACTTGCTTTCAGTTTCAAAATATAAAATTAGTTACAAATGAAGTCTCTAGTTTTTTAAATTCAGATTTTAATTAACTTATTTCCAAACAGGCTATCTTTTTGACTCATGCTATTGGTGCACAGATTGCCTTCATCTAAAAAATTTATGAAAAATTTTACTTTCTCAATTACCTTATATTAATTAAAATATACAATACACTCAATAAACAAAAATATACAATACACTCTTGCATACATTAAAACCAAAACACACATGTATATATATATATATATATATATATATATATATCCATTTGTTCATTCATGCAATTGTATAAAAAAATATTATGATTATTATTATTATGAAAATCATTATTATTATTGAGATTATTATGCAGGTTCCTTATGTGTGATTGATATAATATATAATATAATATATATATGTATATAATTTATACATTTATATATTATAAATGTATAATTGATATAAATATACATATTGTATTACAAGTCTTACAAAATGAACTTGCATAATAATCTTTTTAAGCTTTGCATAGACTGCATTTAATGTGGCATCAGCACACAACAAGAAGGAACGTGACACTTGTACTGCACACACTGTCACAATATGTTTTGAATATAAAATCACATCGGAAAACATAAAACACTGTAAGATAATATAAAAATTGTTTTTTTTTAATTGCTGAATTTAAAAAATGTATGAAAATCTGGTTGGGCACCACAAAAATGCTTTTAAAACATCATTAACAGTTTCTAACTACTAATAGATATACTTAGATATTGTAATTTGAAAATCTAAATCCTATTCAATTATTTATATGCTGATGTTTTATATTTAATTTTTTTGTGTATGGTTCACAGAACTGGCATATTACAAGAACTCTGATATATATGACTTATTTTTTTCTTGTAATACAAACATCATTAGCCGATTATTATCAAAACCTTTATGCCATCAGAAGATAATGATATAAAAACAAACATTTGTATTGACTTTATGATCTTACTGACATTTGCATTATCTTCTGCTAAGTTAAAAATGTCATTTTGTTTTCCAAATGCAACTTGATGTTCTCTTTTAGAAAGCTATTTTGTTGTTACGCATCATCATGATAATTTGTTGATTTTATCACATTTTAATGCCAAACAATGTTTGTATTTTTCTATAAATTATATCTTAATTTGAGGTTTGCCTCTTGATGTTAAAGACAACAGAGGCTGGATAGCCTTGCATGAAACTGCCAATAATGCAGATTTTGATTCATTATCGATACTTTTAGCAAAAGGTTTGTTTGCATGCTTTGGTAATATTTATTTTTAAAATGGATTTTTCATAACTTGTTAGGTTTGTTGCTACTTTTCATAATTTTGTCTATGACAAAACATCTTGGTGTTGACTAAAAATAAAGAATATTTCAACTAACTTAATCTGTGTATCCCTATGTCTTCCTGTGACAGTCTGTGGCGGCATGCGACAGTTTGTGGCGACATATGACGGTCTGTTGTGGCACGACAGACTGTGGTGATATACAATTGTCTGGGGTGACACACGACAGTCTTGGGCGACATACGACGGTCTGAGACTGCATACGACAGTCTGTGGTGACATGCGACAGTTTGAGACACCATACGACGGACTGGGACAGTATACAACAGTTTTTGGCGACATTCGAAAGTCTCTGGCGACAAATTACAGTGTGCCGACGTAATTTACAATATATATGGGTGCATACGACAGTCTGCGCCAAACGATTTAACGATTTTGAGAATATATAATGTAAATAAATTTAGTCATTTTGTAGTGTACATCCGATGGAGAAACACATCTGAATACCTATTTTAATTAAAAGCATTTAACAATAACATCCTTTGCAGCTAGATCATAATACAGACTATTATCCAATAAACTTTTAAATCGTTTTCATTAACGGAAATTTTTTAAAGAAAAAAGGCGTTTTTCTAACAGAAGAAAAATTACAAGTTTAGAAATTCAAACAGACAATGCTGGTAATGAAGACAATAAAATTTAAAAATTGGCGATTGATATACTTTTGGAAAATTTTGTCAGGAAATCAAGGACTTGTTTTTTTATCTCAGATTCTGTGACTATTGGGAAATTTGACAACTAATCTGTCAGCGAAAGTGTATTTATTTGATTTGTTGAGCGATTGTTTTATTTCATCTCTCTTATTGTGAAAGAATTTCGTATATTAATCCAGGCGTCAAATTATGAAATGTTTTTATAACATAACTTAACATAAAATAATAATAAAAGATGCGAACTTTTATTTTCTAAGTTTTTAGTTTTTAGTTTTTAAGCCCCCAGCAGAAAATTTACGTAAAAATGGTAAATGACAGCAAAAAAGGAAACACAAAAATACTTATAAAATAATCTCAAATGAAAGTTAAATTCATAAGTTATAAATACATATTTAAGCATCAAATGCTAAAATAACATTGAAATACATAGCATACGAATCTCAAGATCGGTATGAATTGGCCTACATATATGATAGGCCCTTCCTTCATATTTGATAGACAAGGCCGTATTTAGAAATTGTGTTCGGGGGGATTAAAATTTTTGATTTAAATCATGTTTATTTTAATTTTTATTCAAATTTACAAATGAAAATGTTCAATAAAAAAAAGGAAAAGAAAATAAATAATAATTACTGTATATTACAAAACCATGTCAATTATAAAAACTCATCACAATACAATATTGCAACGACGGCCACTTTTTGAAAATTTGTCCATAACTTCTTGAGGGTTAACCGTGATTTCTTTGTGAATGCTCAGTAGAGCGAGCCCATTTAATCTTTTTCCACTTGTTGAGTTCCTTAAATAAGATTTGATTCTTTTCATTGAAGAAAATGATCTTTCTGCAGTTGCGGTTGAAACTGGTAGTGTTGCTTATATGCGTAATAGTGCTTTCACGTTTGGAAAAAATCGTCATTACAGGCTAAAAAAGATTCAATTGCTGTTGATGGTTTATCTACGATTTCTGAATTTTCCCATTTTTTTTGCCATAATAAAAATTCAGATGCTAAGACATCTGCATCAGGCAGTATTGAGCTATAAAAGTTTCCACATTTTTTGACATATTTCATGATTGAAATTTCTTCCGTAGCACATTGATTTTTTGAATTTAAACATTTATTAGGCAAAAACACTTGTAAAGAAGATATCAGATTAGCATGGGTGATAAATCTTTCTTCTAGTTGTGTGCAGATATGATCTAAAAAAGATAAGAACATCACTCGTTTATAATATTCTTCAGTGGTTTTTGCTGGAGTATTGTCATGAGCAGTTTGTATTGATGTTACCTATGGTAAAGTAATGACTTCGCCATTTACAGAGTGAAGCATTTCTTGGGAAACCAAGAACAAACTTTTGAAATTTTCTTCCACTTATTGCTGCAGCTCCATCATAGCCTTGACCTGGTGAGAATGAAGTTGTTGATAAAACAATATTGAATTTTGATTCAATTGTTTAAAAAATAAATAAATTCATACCTATTAAAAATTGTTGGTTAATGCCGCATGCCATTAATCTCTCTATCAAAGTGGCTGCCAAACTTCGTCCGGTTAAATCGTTAACTATAACAAATTCGAAAAAATCCTCTTTTAATACGCTGTTATCCAAATAGCGATAACAAATAGTTAGTTGCTCATTATTAGTTACATCGGTTGTCTCATCGGCAAGGAGACTAAATGAGCAGGCAAAATTAATCTTTTTTACTAATTGTTCTTGAATTAGTTCACCACAGATATGTATAATCGAGTTCTGTATAGCCGGGCTAGTATACAAAGCGTTTTAAGCACTTGAGTTTAGATGATTTTCAAGAATAATATCCACGGATGAAACACGAAATTTCAACAAAGCCCTGAAATTTCCATCATTGACATTGTTGTGTAAGACTAGACCGACTTCATCCGAACCTCTTAGTGCAATTTCTTGACGACTACAAAATATTATTGTTTCAATAATAAGAATCAATTTTGCACGATTTTCTTGGGCCTTTCTCAAGACTTCTGAATCGATTAACTTGGTTAAAGATTTTTGTCTCCCTTCAACCACGGAAAGAATGTTTTCAGCCATTATCACTGATGTTTTGTGGTATTCAATGTTTGCATGTGCTTCAAACTGTTCAATGGCATCTTTCCACCTATTAAAAGATACTATAAAGCCAACTTTTTGGTTAGCACCTTTCCCCACATGTTCCCTACCAAATATAACACAAAATTTACAAAACGCTCCCTCTTTTTTGTCAGAGTATGAAAGCCAGGAAAATCGTTCAAGCCAACGCATTTGAAATTTAAGACGCCGTTTAGGCTCAACAGAAAATTTGTAAGTTTTAGGAGGCGTCCACAATGACTTCAACACAATTTCTTTTTCTTGATCCGTCATTGAATTTCCTACATAAATACCTATATTATGGAGATTGGTTGCAGTTTGAACTGAACCTGAAGGTTGGGGATCATCCAAAACTGCTTCATCTACATTTGCACCTGTTTTCAGTTTTGATTACGTTTTAATATCTAAAATGTTTATTTATGAAAAAATACATTAAATTAATTGTTAAAAAATGTTTGATATTGCGTAAAAGTTGATCATTTTAAAACTAAATACTTGTATTTGTATTAAATTTATTAGCGAAACTAGTTAGATAACAAAAGAAAAAGATTTACTAACCTAATTATTTTCTTTTACGATTTTCTTCCTTTTCATTGCCACAAAAACTAATATTATCGTCAATATTTTTATTATTGTTCTTAAAAAATTTCATCAAACTACTTTGGTTAAACATTCTTTTTCTTTAAATTAATTATAAATATTTTATAGCTTTAATTTGTTTGAGTACCTAGCCTAATATTAAAATGAAAGGAAACCGCGCTTTTTTTTAAACCAAGTATAAAAAATTATATTTAATAACTTCATTATAGAATATCTTTGGTATAAAACATCGTCTCGTCTTGTGAAAGTCGTGAGTTCGATTCATAGATTCGGGCAACCTACATATGTTGACGGATTAAGTGCATAAACATTCTAATGATCGTGTGATTTGTTTATTTGTGTCATTGGAAATGGATTTGAACTCTATTAAAGGCATGTGATTGATTTTATATAAATAATGGAAATTATAAGAAAATACAAAAGCTTTATTAAATATAAATATTTTAAAATCACACACGTAATTTTTACTTCATTTTTATTATTTTCGTAGTTTCGGGAGGGGTTTGAACTCGTAAACCCCTCCCCCTTAAATACGGCCTTGTTGATAACCTACGTGAAAATGCCTGAAAATATAAGAAAAAACGTGAGGTTTAAAAGAACGTGAGATTCAAATAAAAATTCATTGAAAAAACTAGATACACGGATAAATAAATAAAATTAATCAAAAAATATACAAAGAAAGAAACGAAATTACGCGACAAGTAGATGACGCAAATGTACGTTTATTAAGAATTAAGACAGTAAAAATATATTCCATCACAAAATTACACAAGTTGAAATTTAAATTAAAAATTACAATCATTATTTTGTATCCTTATTTTTCTTCTTCTTTCTCGTGTCTTATCCTTTCAGGACATTGGCGACAATTTACCTCCACAAAACCCGATTTTTAACATTTTGTAAGAGTTGAAAGAGTTCAACAAGAGACACAAGGATTTTACGAATTTTATTCGTTTTTGATCGCGATCTATTTTTATTTCCCTCACCATTATTTTGGAGAACATTTTTGATGATCGTAGTCATGCACGCTTTCGTTTTCCAATTATTTCGTTCTTTCAGAAAGAGATGATTACCTCTAATTCAACTATTTATTAAAATATGATTGCACGCTGACGCAGCCACTTCACTTACAACAAACACATAAATTTGATTGAGCCATTCGTTAAATTTCCATTGCAATTTCATAAGTGATTCGAATCTTCGAAGTAAGAGACGATAAGTTTTGAGGTGGTTCAAAAATGATTATTGCTGGCTAAGCTAAAGTTTCAAAAGTTTCTTTTTTATAAGGTGATTAGCATTCAACGTTGTGTTAACGCTCAATTATTTCGCTCAATTATTCATCTCTCAACTGAAAGTGTTCAAATTATTGCATCGTTGTGTTTTAATAAATGAATTTTAATGCTTCCAGGTGCAACATTAGTTAACACAAAATCTCACGATTGTGTTACGCCACTTTATTTGGCCACGCAACAAAATAGTGTGAATTGCGTTGAGTTATTGTTGAGTTTCGACGCCGATCCAAACATTTTTCAGTTTCTTTTGGAGACTCCCCTAATGGCTGGTTGGTTTTCATTTTTGTATTATATAGTCTTTTGAATAAAAATTGAACATAGATTAAGGTTTCATCAGCTATCAAATTATTTTATTCATTTGATTACGTTTTTGGTTTGGATGAAATAAAATAATAAAATGATTTTAGTTGACGATTAAGCGTTATTTGAGTCTTCTAATGACACGTTGACTTAATCAAACGCTTTAATTTTTTTAATTTTCTTTAACTTCGTTTTGGTTTTTCAAACAGACTTATGATAACTGCCACGGTCTGCTCCAAAAGAGCTGTTGCAAAATGGAACAATATTTGGTTTCAGTTGATGGTTTTTCTTCCATTGCCTCCAGACTCTTCCACGTGTACTTTCTTTTTTGTTGGCTTCTACACCAGATGTTGGAGGTTATTACTTCAGATACAATATTCAATTTGCCTTTCTTTTTTTCTCCATTTTCCTAAAGACTGACGACGTTATGTTTCATCTGATCCCACTTGGATTTAGGTCCCCATCATTACATTGAATGCATGTATGTGCGAGCCCATGATTAAAAACAACGGTCATAGAAACCACCATTTTGTCCCAACTCGCTTGTTAATGTTAGGTTATAGGTCTCGTGTTTGTTACGTATATGCGAATACGCATTTTTCTGTTATTTGTGAAGTGTGTCTTTAAAATCTCATAAACGTTTTTTTAGAGTCGCTTCGATATCGCTCATCTCAAACTCGGATGGCAAACTATTTGCAACATCAGGCCTTAAACTACAAAATTTTTGAAATTGTCGACGCTTCATCCCATTGTACCTAAAAACTCTTTTTCCGATCGGACCTCACATGTTCATACATTTTTTGAATGTGGGTATATTCATGTCAATGTGCATTTTTACACTGTTTTACATTTCTGACGTTTGCAAATTAATATCGGTTTATTGATTGATTGGATTGATCGATCGATAGATTGATTGATGGATTGATAGATTGATTGATCGTTTGATTGATTGATTGATTGGTTCGTCGGTCGGTTGATTGATTTTTATTTTTTGATTTACGCTCATTCATCTAATGTTGACGATTAAAAAGCTGATTTCAGCTAAGTGAAGTAACGGCCACTTAATTTTTTTAATTTTTATAGCTGTGGTAAATGGAAACAAATCAATTATTAATCTTCTATTAAAATACAATGCCGATGTTAACGCGCGAAAATATGATGGATGTACTGCATTACATGTTGCCATAAAAAACAAAGATGTGGAGATTGTCGATTTACTTCTAAATAATGGAGCTGATATTTCCGTTAGAGATGAAAATGGCTTAAACGCCATAATGTATGCTCTGTGTGATGCAGAAGTTGATCATTCCATTCTTAATACTCTTCTGAATACTGATAAGGTCAACAAATCTTTCGAAGGTAGATTTTGTTTATTTTGTTTTGCAATTACAAATTTAGTTTACTGGCGGATCCTAGTTTGCATTTACATGTCAAAACCATTTGAACATTTCTCAAATCAGTATATTGCAATCTTTATAGAAATTGAAATTTCTATAAAGATTGCAATATACTGATTTATGAGATGAAGAGAATGAGGTGGTGATTGTGGATTGTCTAAGAGAGAGGAGAGAGAGAGAGAGAGAGAGAGAGAGATTAACAAAAACTCAAATGTTAAAAAGAAAAAATTTTTTGGAAAAATCATATCTGCAAGACTTGAAGAAAAAAAGACTATGATGGTGTTAGATGCATTATTTTGAAATGGTTTGGTCACAAAGGAAAATACGATGAAGGCGATTGGATGAAGAAATGAAACCTCACAACGTAACATTTAGAATTGTAGGACCGAGGAAGAGTAGTTGATCGGAGTTCATCTTGGAAAAGTGTTGTCAGAGGATATCAAATCATTTGGATAGAAGCCGGACATGGCACATAATGGAGATGATTGGAGAAGATGTTTTAAAGTGTGCAATCATGCAAAAAAGCATACCCTTGGCTTTCAACAGGTTTAGGTTGGTCGCTTGACTTAGAACAAGCAACTTTAAACGCATCATTTTCTTTACTTACTTTTTTATATTAAAATTTATCTATCAAGTTTCTCATGAAATTGTTGTCAACATTGAATGCATTTTCAGCGTTACAAAAAACGGTGAACACACCAGCTTATGACGGAGCAACTGCATTGTATCTTGCTGTTCAGATTGCTTCTAAAGAAATTATGCTTTTATTGTTATCAGTTGGTGCAGATCCAGATTTGGTTTTACGAGATGAAAAGTTGGCTCCTGTCCATGCGGCAATAGCTCTTGGTCATATCGAGTAAGTTTCTTCTTAGTTCAAAAAAACAAATTTTCAATAAATGTTTGAAACATTTAATAAGTTTATTGAAGATGAATTAATAGAACAAGGTTGCAGTAGGTTTCTAAAAAATTTGCAAATCATGCTAGATTAAATAAACTTTATTCCAAAAGTAATTTTTTATCACGTTATTGTGAAAGCTCTTTAGTTTTTAAAACAATCTCGTTTGAGACAACACAATTGTTCATTAAGAACGGTTACTGATAAGTTGTAAATCTCGTTATAGCCATTAAAATGAAACAGCTTGTTTTATTCCAAGCTTAGACATCGATGGACGAGTAGGTTCATGCGGTAAAACCGCTTTTTCATATTGCGGTTGTTGTTGGCCAAGATACTATCTGACTGAAAGTCAAGTGTTATGGTATGTTTTGTGCATACGATGAAGGGCTTACGCGTAAATACAATGCATGTTTTAATTCAACTAAGTTAGCAGGAACGATTCGTACGTAAGCTGTCAACTGCGTGATAATGAACAAAACTAATACAACGAAAATGAAATATCGAAGCAGCAGTGGTATTGATTAATGATATTTGGTATAATTGAAATGTTATTATTACGACAAATTTTGTTTAATCTCGACAATGAACTCGGAGACATGTTTTTTTGCTTTGTGCTGGTTCTTCGATTGGTTTTAGTTTTAAAATTTTAAAAAATTTTCATATTTACTTTCATTACAATTTTTATAAAATTACAATATTTAGTGAGTATTTTGGATGGATTAGCGTAAAAGAAGAAACGGCTTAATTAGAAGATAATTTTTCCATGCTGATTAAAAAAGTGTTTCAGCGAGCTTATATATTTGTTTGATACTTGTTATAAGGTTAAATCAATGAGAGTATTATAAAATTATCAATAAAGTCTCTACATTATTTTAAAGTTGATTGAAAATTTGAACACAAATTTTTAACATTTTCTGGAGTCGTTTTAAAAAATTCCACTTTGACTTCGGCTTCTATAAAACTTAACGATTCTGGAAATAACCTCTGACACCTTGCTCGTCAGTCTTCGGTGAATAAATGCTTCAAAAACAATTTACTTCATCTCTAATCTTTATTTGATCGAATGATGTGGCTGTGTATTAACTTTTTTTTTATCGTGCAAAGATTTCAATCATATCTATGTTTCTTTGCGTGACAAATCAAATATGATTTAAAAGTCAACTAATTTTAACAAGTAATTTTATTATAAACACATTTTTCAGGTTAGTTGAACACCTTTTGCCAATTACATTAAATTCTACCTTACTTAGGCCCGAATCCAGTCCTATTTCCTTGGCATGTGATAATGGGAAAAGTGAAATGATTAAGTTTTTGATAAGCCATCCAAAAATTAGTTTAACGGAAACATTTCCACTTCCTGGATATTTTTGTATTACGCCTCAATCACCTTACTGCACAATTTCTTATTTAACAGAAGCTATAATGAAGGATGCTGATTTGGAAATAATAAAAATGCTAGTTCAGAATGGAGTTCCAATCAGTTGTAATAACAGTTCAGAAATTCCTCCTTTTTATATGGCTATTTACAAAAATAATGTACAAGTGGCGTCTTACCTCTTAAAAATTGGTGCTAGCGTGAACGTTTATTTGAATGAAACTATGTTTAATTACAGTTGGGTGGCCTCTGATAATCTTCAAGTCATCAAACTGATCCTTCGTCATGGTGCAGAATATGATAGCATTTTAAACTGTAATTTATCGGACATGTTAAATATGCATAAAGATAAATTTTTCAAACCAAGACTGAAAACGGTCGTATCTGTAATATGTTATTTAACTAACAAATTGCCACACGGTAGCGAAGAATGCCTTGAATTACCATTATTCCAACTGCTGCCAAGTAAGTTTAAAAAACTTTTAATAAAAGATACATACATGAGCTTAATACAATTTTAATTTCATTTCAGAATCTCCGCGATCGCTGAAATGTTTGTGTAGGAATGTTATCAGACGATGTTTGTTCCTACCTTCATATTCTCTTAATTTTGAAAGATTGAATCGTTTGATGCCATTCACTTTGACAGATTATGTTTTAAATTTGAATGATATTTTATAGAGTCCATTTTTTCAAATTTCTCACATCTACTAGGATCAAACCAATTATCAAACTTTTTTTTTTTTTTTCCTTGAAAAAATTCAAGTGTGCCCTCCTAGGTTCTTCAAAAAATAGCAGTGTGTGTTAGAAATCTTGGTTCCGGTTGATTTGATTCCCAATTCCGTTCAAAGTCAATTATTTTTTAAAAAAATTTGAACGGAAAAACTCCGACTAATGGGAATTGATGAAAAAAAACTTCAATCAAATAGATTAAAAAATGCTGCAAGTTTGAGAGCAAAGCACATTTGTAACATAAGTCGTCTTATAATGTAGTGAGAGACCGGTTATAGTGCAAAGGATCCAGACAATCACATGGTGAATTTCTGCTAATGCTGTCTGTACGTTTTTTTGTTTTAAAATATTTAAGGATGCCAACGAACATTGGAGTGATGGTTAGTCAGTCAGCTTCTGAATTTAATCATTTTTTATTAGTAAAATTTATCGAGATTAAACTTTTTTGGCTTACTTATTTTTGGAATTTTATTTTCAGCTAGGAAAACTAAAAAAAAAAAAAAATTACTTTTCACCTCAAAGAACAAAGTCACATCCAACTTGTGTAACTCCAAAATTTTCTGAAAAGTTTAAATATAAATGGAAGTTTATATGGAATAAACGTTTCTAGAAGACAAAAATTATAATTCAGCTGGCCATATAAGCACTATTCATCATACGGGTTATATATTTTATAAAAAAAATCATTTTAAAAATTTTTTTTAATTTAAAAAAATGGATGCACGCAAAATTAATGGTCGACCACCATCTACATGCGTTGCTTTGGTACATGAAATTAAATAAAAACAAAAAAAGGAATGCTCTGCGTTATCTATATTTTACTTTAGACCTCAGTCTTCAAAACAATAATATTAAAGATAATGATAATCATCGTCGTCATGCATACAAGAAAATAGCACAACAATAATAATTCATCGGTTATCGTGAACATTATCGTTTTTATTTTTTTTTTGTGTTGTTAATTTATGTTGCGTTGTTAGTATTAACTTTATATTGTCAACTTTATGTTATCTTCATGTCATTATAATTTATATTTCAACTTTGTGTTGATACTTTTCTGATGTCAAATTTCCAGGCATCTAACAATGATTATATGATTCAACCAATAAATTGCATGTCGCAATAAAATTTTATTGCTAGATTCACTTTATTAATGATGCCAATAATGGTCATTATTGATAACTTGGACAAAGTGTCAAACGAGCCAGGTGATAGTGACAGCATCAACTAAAGTTCATGTGTTAAACCATACTTTGCTTATTCGTATATAAGACCGACCTCCAACCGAATGTGTCAAAAGATCTATTGCTAATCTATCGCTTTTAACATCATAAGAATTTCGAAAATATTGTTTAATTGTTCTTAAAATTAAATATTTTCTACTATTTTGGAAACAATTTTTGATAGCAAAACATACATAAAATACAAAAAATTGAAATGGGTAGATATCACGCAAAGAATGATTTTTACAAAACTGCGGCAAGGAGGACAGATGATGTAGCCGCCAGAAGAACTGAAAACGTAGGGGCTAGAAGTACAAATAGCTACGGAGTTAGAAGAAGAGAAAACGTAGAAGCAAGGAATACAGAAAACTATGAAGATAGGAAAAGAGATAACTATGTAGCTAGAAGAAGAGATAACTATGTAGCTAGAAGAAAAGAAAACGAAGCAGCTCGCAGATCAGATTACTTCGAATTTAATGGTGGTGACAAAAGACTTAAAAGAAAACGAAGCTACGAAAAAAATAAACAATCATCATATGAAAGACAAACAAAAAGACGAAAAGAAGAAGATATCAAAACAACCAAAATGAATGAGGAAGCCAAGATAAAAAAAAAAGAAACTGACAAGCAACTTGAAGATGGTGAGATAGAAGACGAAACTAACTACGACAATGCCATATCTCTAATTCCATTAAGATGTTACTACGATCTTGATGTAAGTGAAGATGGTGAAGTTTTTGAAGATGAGATCCTCGACGCGAAACCACTTAAGAAGACAACCATTGATGACATCGTTAACGAAGTTCGAGCTGAAATTCAAGCGGAAACCGACCAATTATTTGAGGGATTGTTCTAGAAATTATAATGAAATTTTATTTTTATTATTTTGTGAAGTTCATTTTTTAAGTTTCATTATTGATTTTTAATATGTGCAATTTTTACAATTAATTTGTACGCTGGTATTTACTACAATAAAATGATTTATTTTAAAAACTGGCTTTGTTTTGTTTTAATCTGAAAATAAATAATTATTGAATAATCGTAATTAATATTAATGATTTATTTATATTAATTATAAGTAATAATAGCATAAATTAAAGAAACAATAATCATTTTAATATAAATGCTTTACATTATTTTAAAGTTCATTGAAAATTTGAACACAAATTTCTAAGCGTAAATTATAAAGCCATATTTTTCTTTATAAACAGTTTAATAATTAAGGTAACAGAGAAGATATTTCAAAAATAATTGCGATATTAATTTGGGAAAGAATGCCATTATTATTAAAACTTTACTATTAAAAATACAAACATAATCTTAATAATACAATTTTAATTTCATTTCAGAATCTCCGCGATCACTGAAATATTTGTGTAAGATTATTATCAGGTGGTGTTTGTTCCCACCTTCTTATTCTCTTAATTAATTAAGATTTTGTTTTAAATTTGAATGATATTTTAAAGAGTCTTTTTTTCAAATTTCTCAATCCACTAGATTAAACCAATCAACAAACTTTTTTTATTTTTTCCTTACAAAAATATCAAGTGCGCCGCCCTAGGTTCTTCCAAAAAAAGCAGAGGTCTTGTTCCGGTTGATTTGATTGCAAATTCGGTCAGAGTCAAAATATTTTGAAATAATTCTGACGGAATAACTCCGACATGTCGGAATTCCTCAAACGGCAGAAACAGAGAAAACAAGTTGTTATCAATATGTCAACAATAAACTGTTTTCAAAACCTCAGATTACCAGTCTGCGAATTAACATTAACAATGTAACTAACGATCCGGTTGTGATGGCTAATGCATTTAATAAATATTTTTCATTCATTTTCTGCGCGCGTGTGTGAACGGATAGCCGTGTGTATATAATATAGGTATGCAAAGACATTTTCGTTATTCAATGAATGACAATTCTAAAAATTATAACGTGATTTTTTTTTTAATATTTCGTTCGTCTATTTGCCATTTTGTTTAATTGAAAATTATTTTCTTTTTTTTCTGGACCGGGTAAGTGGTCCTTGTGGCCCTCTGGTCAGTAATGTAATGAATAAATAAATAAAAAAATAAATAAATAATAATTCATCGGAAAAATTTAACAGTATCGTTAGCATTAACTTTTTGTCGGTAGGCTAACATTAACTTTTTGTTAAAATTATTATGTTAACAACACAATGTTAATACATTGACTTTATAATGTTAAAATTAACTTTTGACTTTGCGTAGTTAATTTATGTTGCGTTGTTAGTATTAACTTTATATTATCAACTTTATGTTATCTTCATGTCATTATAATTCATATTTCAACTTTGTGTTGATACTTTTCTGATGTCCAATTTCCAAGCATCTAACAATGATTATACGATTCAACCAATAAATTGCATGTCGCCATGAAATTTTATTGCTAGATTCACTTTATTAATGATAACTCGGACAAAGTGTCAAACGAGCCAGCTGATAGTGACAGCATCAACTAAAGTTCATGTGTTAAACCATACTTTGCTTATTCGTATATAAGACCGACCTCCAACCGAATGTGTCAAAAGATCTATTGCTAATCTATCGCTTTTAACATCATAAGAATTTTGAAAATATTGTTTAATTGTTCTTAAAATTAAATATTTTCTACTATTTTGGAAACAATTTTTGATAGCAAAACATACATAAAATACAAAAAATTGAAATGGGTAGATATCACGCAAAGAATGATTTTTACAAAACTGCGGCTAGGAGGACAGATGATGTAGCCGCCAGAAGAACTGAAAACGTAGGGGCTAGAAGTACAAATAGCTACGGAGTTAGAAGAAGAGAAAACGTAGAAGCAAGGAATACAGAAAACTATGAAGATAGGAAAAGAGATAACTATGTAGCTAGAAGAAGAGATAACTATGTAGCTAGAAGAAAAGAAAACGAAGCAGCTGGCAGATCAGATTACTTCGAATTTAATGGTGGTGACAAAAGACTTAAAAGAAAACGAAGCTACGAAAAAAATAAACAATCATCATATGAAAGACAAACAAAAAGACGAAAAGAAGAAGATATAAAAACAACCAAAATGAATGAGGAAGCCAAAATAAAAAAAGAAGAAACTGACAAGCAAGTGGAAGATGGTGAGATAGAAGACGAAATTATCTACAAAAAGGTCATGACTATAATTCCATTAAAACGTAATTACAAAGATTACAACCTTGATCTTAAAAGAAAAACGAAAAGACAAATAGAAGAAGATGTAAAAACATCCAAATTGAATGAGGAAGCCAAGATAAGAAGACAAGAAGAAACTAACAAGCAACTGGAAGGTGGTGAGATAGAAAGCGAAACTAACTACGACAATGCCATATCTCTAATTCCATTAAGATGTTACTACGATCTTGATGTCAGTGAGGATGGTGAAGTTTTTGAAGATGAGATCCTCCACGCGAAACCACCAAAGAAGCCAACCATAGATGACATCGTTAACGAAGTTCGATCTGAAATTCAAGCGGAAACAGACCAATTATTTGAGGGATTGTTCTAGAAATTATAATGAAATTTTATTTTTATTATTTTGTGAAGTTCATTTTTCAAGTTTCATTATTAATTTTTAATATGTGCAATTTTTTGAATTTTTGTCGTTTTTTAGTTTTTTACAATTTATAGTGGTGGTGGAAAACTTTAAAAAATTTATCGCTATACAACAGCGATAACAGGCGTCTTAAACAATATTATTAAATTATTAAATTATGTTGGGATTTGAGGTTTGTGGCTCCTTTTTTGATCATAATGTCTGGCTAACAACTTTTTTAAGACGAGCAAGGCCTCGCGGGCCGCATAAAATAGCTTCGCGAGCCGCATGTTGCCCGCGGGGCGTAGTTTATCCACCCATGCTCTAAAATATGCTATATATGTAAAGATAATTTCAATTGTGCACTAAAATGGAAATGAAAATTAAATAATTTTAACGCAATCAATTAATAATTAATTAACAACAATTATAAAATCAATAAATAGTAATATTTTATTATATGAATAAAACTTGTTTCACAAATCGAATCAATCTCGAATTCACTTTTCATTGGATGCCTGAAATCGAAATAGTGAGTCAGAGCGGAGTGTTCTACGTATAAACACGCAGTCAATGACTGACACTCGCGCGCACACACACACACACACATTTGTTGAATAAATTTGAATTGATATATATATATATATATATATTTTAAGGTGAACAAGGCCTCGCGGGCCGCATAAAATAGGCTTCGCGAGCTAATTCTATATATAATATATATATATATATATATATATATATACATATATTATATATGAAAGAGTATGTGTGAAAGAGTGTACATTGTTATATCTATCTAACACTTATTCATCTGAAATTTTATTTGATTTGAACGTACATCTGGTTCTTGAATATGGTAACCATTTCACCAAAACTTCCGTTGTTGTTAAAATAGAAAAATTAATAATAAATAAAATTAAGATACTATAAAAGTATAAATACAAAAAGTTCTTAGTTGTTTTAATAAATTATTACGTGAAGATTCAAATTTTTAGCAATTGAGTTATTTTTTTGGCATTTTACGTAATTTTAAATTAACCATCATACAAAATTTTATACATTTGTTTTAAATCAATCAATTTCATTAAAAGTATAATGTAGGTTAGTTGATCGGAGAAAAATCTTAGATCGGTACTGGGTAATCCAAAAAATGGTAAACAAAGAGTTAAAAATAAATCTAGTAGCAATGTAATATTTTTCCGTTGATCAGATGCAACATTGTTTCCAAGATAGAAAAACTGGGGTTTGGAATGCCTATGCACGAAAAAAGTCGTCAACCTTTACACTCGTATTTTTGGCGCCCAGAAGCAAAATTGATGATTGCTGCCCGGATAGGTAATGTAAAATTAATAAAATACATTCATAATCACTTTTCTAAAACTATTTTTTTCTTCGTTCCTATCATTTTCGCCCAACATTAAAATTGTAAATTTTCAGTAATCTGAACTCTGTGAAGTTTAGCAAAAAATTAACATTATAATTGCTTAAATGCCTTTATTTAACGTGTGGCCAAATAGTTTTTAAGAAAAATGAAAAAACAGATCGTTCTTATCATTTTGAGCCGCACCGTAAACTAAGATCCTTTTATTAATCACCAAATTGTGATGAATTTTTATTGCAAATATTATCACTCAAGTTATAAAATTTATGTTAAAAATATACGCACAACTAACAATTAAAGAAACTGATTTTTAACAAATTGTTAAAACAAATTTAACTTCTCATTTTTTTGAAAAAGAGTAATTTCGGCCAACCCTGCCCCACATCATTGCTTTGCAAATAACGATAAAATGTTTTAGAAACTCATTTATAATAAAATCACAAATTAAAGATGTTACAGATTTGTTGCATTTAAAAAAGGATCAAACAAATTTATATTCTCAAAGAAAGTTAGTATCAATAATTTAGATGTTCATGTTATTCAGTGCTTTTGAGTTTTATGCTTTTTTTGTCATTATGTAAATTGGAATGGTCTTTAAGATGTTTTTGAAGTTCAACTGATCTCGTGTACGTTTTGCCGCACAATTGCTGGTTGCAGACGAAGAGCCTGTCATCGGAATGCCAGTGCAGATGGGCTTTCAGATGAGATATCTTGCTGTAAACCTTGCCGCAGCCTGGAATGTGGCAGTTGTGAGTGCATGCATCCTTTCCCTCACTCATTCCTGTTTTTAGAAAAAAAAATCAAAATATTATTTCACTTAAGAAATGTTATGTGAATAACACTTAACTAGAATGCATTTATTGTTTATGAATGTTAAATTTACAATATAAAAATCAATCTACTTTGAGAGTTCATTTTTTTATCGAACGTAAGGAAGGAATGATTTGTATAGTTTATGTGGTGATAACGTCGTCCACATAACGCACCATGAATAAAGAAAAAATATATACTGTTACCATAGATATAGAAACTCATAGATATGGCGCACTCGTTTTTAAGAGAATATTGTTTAGTTTTTTTTAGGTTTACTTTATTACTGTGGCATAACTGTTCACGTGTTATATCGTTATCAAATTATATTGTTATGAAATTCAAGTAAAGTGTAAATATAAATAAGCAAAAAATGTGTTATCATCAGTTATCACCAAAATATATTTAAAATTAAAGTTTTATTATAATTAATAAATTAGTTAATAAATCTAATTATTTACTTTTACTACTACTACTAATAATAATAATCATATTCCTTATCATCCTCATAGTGTAAAAGCTTTGAACACTCGGCTTTTTTTATCCTTTGGTGATCTACAAACCTCAAAAGCGACAGCGACTTAGCCATGCCTGTTTTTTTCGGCAATTTACTTTGACGATAAAATACCTTCTTTTAGTGCCTGACACAAGCAAAAGTGCTTAAATAATTTAGCGCTATTAATAAAAATCTTAGTTTTAGAACTTTTATTTAAAATCCTAAATAATCCGGTAACCATAGACATCTCTTATGATCTTTCATCATTATCATATATTTTTAGCAAACTTATCCCAAATCAATAAATTGCCTTATTATATTTTCTCTATCATGAACTTTATGTAAAAGCACAAACGGTTTTGACCTAGTAACTCATTCATTATAATTTGTTTGGCACCACCAAGTGGGAAATTGTAGCCCATTGTATAATGACACAAAAAATTCCCAATTAATTTAAGTTCGATTTTTAATATGAAATTCCACAAGATATATTTGTACATATGATTTTTTTTATCATTAACTTTATGCTATTCGAACGAAGGAGGCAAAAAGAACCGTTTATTGTTCATTAAACTTAGCAAATATTTCAATAATCCATTTGTGTCTTCAATTAAATATCGTGGACGGATATATTGTATGCGTATAGGTAAATATAATGTTAAATGTAAAAATATAAGTTAAATCTAGAGTTCTAATTTTTCTAGATTAACAAAACTGGTAAAGTGCAAAGATAAGTATGTTAAATTATCTTATATCCTATTAGAATCAACATGTTATATTAGTTTATAATTCCAATTTAAAATTGCATTATCAAAATTTTTATAAGAAACAATGTCTTAAAAATCAAAAGTAGTTCTTTTGATTACTCACCTTCATTTTTGACAACCTTGCAATTTGGACAATCGCAAGAAATTTTTGCTGTTGTAGAATTTACCTTTCCTTTATTATTGGGCAATCCAATTTTCATACACGCCGAAGAATGAAGTGAAGTGCAGTTAGACGTGGTAGCATATTTGTTGATGTTTTGTTTCATTAACTGTTCGAAAGCCGAGTTTGGTTGCCAGGAAGTGACTTCGTTGAACTGGGCCATAGTTGAGCGAGATAATGCGTTCAGTGACAAATTTGTATCGTAAGAGTGCCTGATATCTTTTGAACTTATGTGAACTTGGTGAGTAAAATTAGGTGGAGGCCTTGATGTTTCTCCGTAGTTGAATTGTGTAAAAATTACGGGCTTAGGATGAACAAGCGAAGCAGGTTTGCTCGCTAGCTCGGGTGAATAATGATGAAGGTCTCTATATAATCCATTTTTATTTCCATCCTCAGTATCTTCTGATGAAAACGTTTTGAAAGAACATTTGTCATGTCCATCTTTGCCGCCATTCATGCTAATATTTTGCATTTTTGCAATAATAATATTTCTTTCAATAAAAAATTTGAATTCTATTGTATTGAATATACAAATTTTTTAATATTCAATTATAAAACGCAAGGAGCTATGGATCAAAGCAAAATTTCAGACATATATAGAGTATTGTTTCAATGTTTTACGTACACTGACTCGTATAACAAACGATTGGTGGTCAATTTTTAATAGTCCCTCCCACCATTGTACGAATGCTTGATTGGCACCGGAAACTATCCGAAATTGATACTCATCAAAAACTTGAAAAGAAAAGGTGGTTAACACACAAACACACACACGCGCGCGCGCACACGCACACACATGCTCACATATACACACATGCTCACATACACATAAAGGAGGAAAGATATTTGAACACACTCACACACATATGTATATATATATACATTAGAAAACGAAAAAACGAAAGTTTGTATGCATGTGAGTCCATCGTGATACTTAGCAATTAAGTATTTGTTGGAGTCATCACGAAATTGCCAATGTGTCAAGCCAGGCCTCTAATTATCTTCATTGTTTATGCATCGATTATGCACTGTTCTAGTTAACTATTCTTAGTTCTTGCAACTGAACGCTTTTTTAAGTATTAAATTAACAAGTTCCAAGTCTGAACTGCTGAATTAAAAATAGAATCTTTATTAAAACTTTATGTTTTTTTATTTTTTTCAGAATATCGTTTCAACGAGCGGCACGCACAAACGCTGCGAGGAAGCAATTAAGAGATGAAAGAATGCAAATTCACTAAAGAACGTGTTGCGCACAATGGTCAGACCATCTTTCACTAGATCGCCTGCGGGGCCGGTTTTCTTTCTTTCATTTTCGATTTTTTCATTCAATTTTTTACCTTCCTCAGCTCAAAAAGTATCAAAAATGTTCTTACTTTTTGGAATGATTGTTTTAAAAATAGAAACTGAATATAAAAAATTGAAACCCTATTGTATGAAGCTCACGCATAATATTTATATTTCGACACAATCTGTAGAGTTGTCGCCAGCGTTTAAACACTTTTGCAAATACGTGGACAACATATCTTACAAGATCATCTTGTTCAAGTATATCACGCGAATGCATATGACAATATAAAACTCAACATTTCCTTCATTTTACATATTAGAAACTTCAAATACATTTTAAAAAATGTTGTTTAAGTTTGTTGTATAGTTTTGAAAGGTACAAATTAAAGAAGTAGATTTTACTTAAACATTTTACAAATATAATTAACATACGCTATTTTTTGAATTAATTCAAGTTAGCCTTTTTCAACAAATATCAAAGAAACGTCGGAACACGAATCTTCCTGTGACATAATGACGACTAAGCAATTAACATGAAATTTTCATTAAACAGACTTTCTGCATCTTACAACCACTTTTCTACATCTTCAAAAATTTACAACGCAACGTGTGGTGTGAGTTTCGCACCATTGCATAAAATTCCGGAGAGTTTGTCTGAAAATTGATGAAATCGAAGCCATATCTTTTGTGCAATCCCAATTTGACTGTTGAGTTAGAAAATAAAATTTTGGAGCTGCTGCTGACCGAGGCCTAAAAATGAAGTTTAAAAATATATTATCTTTTTCCGTTTTCTGGATCAGCAGCAAGTCGGAATACTCATAGCTCACTGACGAAGCAATAAAAACCCTACTTTCTTTCCCTTCTACTTAATAATTGGAATTTGAATTTTTATGTTTGACTGCAATGAAGACAAAATACAAAAACTGTTTGGAAGTTTGTTTTCCTATACGTGATTCTTCGTTTCAGCCACGTCTTGAGGAACTAATAAATGCAGTGCCGGCCTTAAATATTTTTTTATAATAAAATAAAGTTAAAAATAGATTCAGTTATACTAATATCTATTTTTAACATAAACTAGTTTTTACAAGAAATTAATTTTTTTTTCACACTAATTAATTTAATTTTCAATTAATGAACGGTTTCAACAACTGGATGAATATGTAAATATATGGGTTTTTTATTTAATTTAGATAATTTGCCCATTGTGTATGAACTTTTGAAATTGTGCAAAAAATTGTAAGAAAAATTAACCGTTTATTTAAAGTCTGATGTTGATGGTGCTTTGCTATGGGACGAGCTAATTTCAGTTTTTATTAAAGATAAAAGTTATAAAGATAAAAGTTGAAGAAGTAGAGAAAATGGATTGTTCTGCGCATTCTTTTTACAATACCTATAACTGCTGTAAGTGGGAACGTAGCTTTTCTAAACTGAAACTAATTAAAACATATATGAGAAGCACTATGTTGCAAGATCGACTAAACTCTTTGGCCAAGTTATCAATCGAGCAAGAAATAGCAGAAAATTTCGATCTTTCAAGCCTGATAAAAGATTTTGCTGACAAAAAAAGCTAGAATAGTTACATTTTAATAACTTTAATCAATGTTTCGCTGATTTAATTAAAAGAATTTGTTGTCTGTGTTGTCTGTTATAAAAATCATCTAGTTGTGTTGTAGGACTTATTTTCAATAAAACACATCTTTTAAAAATTCAATTTTACACTTAGATTAGAAATTCAATTTTACACTTAGATTAAAATTTAGATAAAAAAATCTTTTTAGCAATCGTTGCATATTGGTCTCACCTGTACTCGTTCGTTAATGTTAATCTATCTACCTTCTGTACATATCTATTAAAAAACCATACACACACACATATATACACATACTCCTACCTGGGTGGAGGTCCGCGACGTCCCCGTTAAATTCGTTGCCGGTCCGCAAAATCAAAGTTTGAGAAGCACTACCTCAAACTACCGTCACGCGTTTCTAATAATTTCGTCATAAATTAGGTGATATTAACATTTATAACTTTTTCTCTTCAATCTCCATGATTACATCTTATTATTAATTTTCATTCATCGGCATTTCGGAGATAAATAATGAAATAAACACAACACGTTGTTTAATGGAGGGTTTGAAATCAAATTTTGAGAAACAATTTTTAATGAATAACAGATCAAATTTTAAATACTGAATTAAATAAAGAACATGGTGGTTCTAAACAATTCTTTATAAAACCAGTGCTTATAAGTGACGCCAATGAATCAAGCAAAAACACAAGAAAGCTTAAAACAATAGTTAACTAATCGACTAAAAACCATTAAAAATGAAAAAAATAGAATTATAATATGATTGAATACATGATAACGTGTTAAGTCACGCCTCAAAATCATCCTGCTGTTACATGTGAACAGGTAAAAATTTTTGAGCTTATTAAATCTATGACATAATTAAGCAAAATCTCACAAATGAATTAAAGCTTCAGTAACTTTCATAATTGATTTGGTACAATAACAATAAAGATGAGTTAACGTTTATTCAAAAAATATTTTCAATTAACGAGAAACACTGTACTAATAAAACTACTCCATCGACGTATGCGTCAACAAGTTGTCATCGGTAACATTGAATTTTTGAAAACTAGAAAGCATTGACAACATGAAATTGCAGTTTTGAACTGAACCTATGCAGTCAAGTTCATAAAAATTAATTATATTTGAATAACATTCAAGGAGGAACAGAAATGGTTCGTCTGCATGCGTAGACACCAATGATGTCAACAAAAAAAGCTGCGCCTAAAATTGTGAAATTTCATTGTCAATAAAATAGATAGAACGCTTTTTTGGCACAATCGACCAAAATAGAGCAAAGGATTAGCTTTTGTTCTGACACAAGTTATACTTTCTCCTCTGTCACCTGCTCTTTCGGTTCAGCCCATGGCTGTTTTTGACCTGAACCGAATATGAAGAAAAATATGGAACCAAAAGCGTTGACGGCAGCAGCAACGTAGAAGACATTCCTCCAAGCCGCTCTTGTATGCTGCGTAACGTTCAAACATTTTTCACAATCGTAAAAAAACATTTCTAGAAAATAATTAAAAATTTCAATTATCAAATCAAAATAAAATTAATTCATAATATAGTTACCTTTCTAAAAGCTACGTCAAAATGCAAAGGTAGAGAGAAGAACATGTTTTAGTCAGATGCTACTTAATCAAAATTAAATATTTTCTAATTTTTTTTATTACACACGTTTAAACTTACGTGGGTCAGTTTTTGAGTTTAATCAGTTTTCAAAAATGCTTTCGAAAATTTAAAAATATAATAAAACAAGCACACCTTGATACGTGAAAAAGTAGGGGCATAGACGATGCCCCAGAACAATGATTATTGCGTGACTATACTATGCATGTAAACTTCACCCAAGTTTTTGTACACACACATGTACGTACATCGTATATATTGCTTTGAAAGTTGTTGCCGCGATTACAATCATTTTTATTGTAAAATTAGCTAACGAAATTGTTATAAACTATTGAAAACAATAAAATCAAATCAAACAAATGAAATGAGACACACAAAACGCAAGTGCCCGCAAACCATTTGTTAGCCTATTACCTGTCGCGAGTTTCAGCCAGCGAGGACTTGGTTCGCAAGTATCTGACTTAAGTGCTTCTAACTCGCTGCGTATGCGCACCACATCCTAACTTAGGAAAATTTTCAATTAGATCAACTACCTCAAGTTATTTCAAATTTTACCATTTTATTCATCTACTGATATCTTTGGTCATTAGTCTTAATAATTGTTAGTAACCTTCTAACTGTAAGCTTGAGTTCTTTGAACTTGTATCTTACCATTAGAATATATTATTAAAATATTCATGTATAATTTGTAACCTAAATTGTCTTTTACAAAATAAAACGAATATTTTTAAACAAATTAAATTTATGTAGGCAGGTGTTAGATTGGACCGATCAGCTTACACAGAAGAAAAAAGGAAAGTTGAGACAAATGAAAAAAAATATTATAACAAAATCCGCGTTTATGAACAGAGCAACGAACAAGTAGCAATTAAATTATAAGAGAAGGGAGATTGAATTGGCGTCGGTTGGAAGATCGTTGAGATAAGAAGAATGTGTGAGAGTAGGAAGGTGCGTAAAAATCATCAGACAGATCTTTCGTCAGATAAAGAAACATAAACTGGTGCACGTTGTCCTCCAACATACAAATGCACACGAATTAAGTATATAATTGTTAGAAATAAAAATAGTGAACCAATGAAAAAATATCTGATAATTAACACAAGAGAAGCCTTATAAGTAATACTAATATTATTAATAATAAAACAATATAATAATAAAAGTATCAATAATAGTTATAATGAACAATTTATCATTCAAACATGCTTCATCGATATTCTATGAAAGTTTTCAGGCGTTTATTTCTATCACGTCCTCCGACGATTTTAATTATGCCGATCTGCTCTTCTAATATAATTCATTGTGATTTTTACTAATAAATTTGATTCTCTTTATTATTTACAATTCACTCCCATTAACACATGTGAAAACAAAACAATCTGGACTTAATTATCATTAAGACATGCAATTAAAACGTATTTTTATAAATAATACAAATTATTGATCCTAATATTATATCTATTTATAATAATGTTAAATTTACATTTTCACTATCTTGTTACAATTGAACAATTGATTCACAGTTACTGCCACAAATGATATAACGTGAAAGTCAGCAGTCGAAAGTTGCATAGGTGCATTAAAATCATTAACATATATATTTCTATAGTGGTTGCAGGGAGTACTCTTCGTGGATTTGAATCAGGTAGCAGCTAAACAAACAAACGTTAAAACGACAGACTGTGATGCACGCAATCGATAACACTTCAGCAAACTCGTCAAACGAACGCTTTAACAGCAAGCCAATCAAAAAAGTTTGCCGAAATCACGTGAAAAACATTTAAAAACTTATAAAAAAAAACAACAGAGAAATTATTAATTTTAATTACTGACCCCAGCAGCGGTGAAAGCTGATGCTACAGCAGGCCCAACAAAACCAGGAACCGTCGCAAAAGTATTTGTCAGTCCCATCAGCGTTCCTAATTTTAAAAAAATGCCGTAAAAAATATTTTCATAAAATTAAACTCTATCGAGGCGAATGGCCGTAGCAGGTGCAGGTGCTTGCTCAAGCAGTACCGCCACCAAGTCCAAATTAAAAAAACATACCATCCATTTTATGCAAAATACATTGCTCCAAAACTCCAGCATTTCCATTACTTTAGAGTTTTTTCTTTTCGCGTGAATGTATGGAGAAGATGAGTTTTATTGAAGTCTCTTAACTAGTTACTGCACTTTGAAGAGACCATGGTGACCTCTCACGATCTCTTCACCTCCTCCATCCATAGTGACATGACCTTTCATGACCTCTTCACTTCCTCCATCCATGGTGACCTCAAGAAAATAAAAAATCTATTGGAACGGGATCAATTTTGTTTGTGAGTCAGGCTTTCGCCGAATTACATTCCACCTATTTCGAATTCGATCGCAATAGAGGTTGGTCTGTGCTGATTTTTTGGCGTATCACCTCCTTTTCGTATTTTAATGTTTATTCCATTAATTTTAATTGACATAAAAATAATTTCATAATAAGTTTTTATAAATTGTTGTAATAGTAATTTCAAATGAGCATCATACTGACCTGCGTAGATTGGAGCGAGGTCGAGGTGGTTGACACTCCAGCCGGCCCATGAAACTCCAGACAATCCCACGGCAACTACAACGCACAAGACTGCCAATGCGTTGTTGCACTCAATATAGCCCATGCCTAGGAAAAATACAGCTGGTCCCATCAGACCTGTTTAAAATTTTTTCAGACATCAGAATAATTTTATTATAAGAAAGATTAAATCACGTTATAAGGCAGACCTATCACGTTCGCAATTTTTCGGACTTTTGTTGTTGATAAAATCTTCTTAGTAATAAGCAGGTCGGCTGTAAAGCCACTTGACACCATGAAAAACCAGCAAGCAAGATATGGCAAAGCTGCTATTGCCCCATTCTATATTCATAAAAATAAGCCAAATAGTAAAAAGTATTTGTTGTTAAGACAGTAACTAACAAATATACCAACACTTTTAATGTCGAACTTGAGTATCTTGCTAAAAAATAATGGTAGGCAGGTAAGCATTGTGTAGAAGCCCCAATTGTTGGCGAAATGGGCCGAAGCAGTTGCATAAACTCTGATTGAAGTGAAGATGGACTTCCACGGAAGATCTTTCAGGGCAACCTGTGTCGCAGTAAAGGTAACAAAATGTAACGATGCCAGTAAAATACCCAGGTGATGTTGCAACATGCTACTGCAACGGTGCAACAATATGAGCGCAAAAATGTTGCACGTTTCAATTCACTAACTTGTTTTGATTTATTTATATATTGATTAATTAAGGATATATATTTACTTCATTCATTGTAATTCATTAATTTCCATATAATCATGTTATCATTTAGTCATAAATGGTCACGTCGCTTCATTGATAATATGGGAGATTTGTGGTGAGGGAGACATAAGAACACTCATTTCTTATTTCTGTATTGAGTAAGTGTATTAATAGAATGACAACTGCAAACTAACTGGTTTGGTTTTCTTAGTGCTGCCTAGCGCAGTTTGAATGTATTCCTTCTCACTTGGATTGATTCTGGGGTGTAAATTTGGATCGTCATAAATCAAGAAAAACCAGGCGACAGAGAATGCCAAACCTAAACTTCCTGTAGAGAAAGATTTCAAAAAATAATTGATTTACGTATTAACATGTTGTGTTCTTCTTTTCTAATTACAAAAAAGGAACTAAAAAACGAAAGCAAGTAGCACGCTGTGACTTCCATCATTTGTACACTGACAACTCAGAAACAGAGAGAGTGTGTTCTAATTTAAAACACCAACAACAACTCAAACTCATTTCGTAATAATATACAACAACGAATAAAAAAATTTGCCATCAACTGCAAGTTTATTTTTACTCTTTTAAAATTAAATGTTAATTAACTAAAAAAAACAAAAAGCAAACCAAACAAATAGAAAATAGATTCCCAAGAATAAAAAGCTAGAATTCCACATATCGGGTTTGCCAACACTGTTCCCAACTGGCAGCCTGCCAAATAATTAAAAATGAAATAGACACAAAAACGTATTTATTTAAAAATAATTGATTTCAATTAAAACCGACAAATCAATGTTTAAAATGATACCTCAAAAAAGCCAGAATTATGTGGATTTAAGATTAAATAAAACAATCAATCAATCAAGAGACCCAGTTCCCCTGAGGTAGGACGTTGTTTTCTTTGCCATCAATTTTTTGCGCCAAATAAGACGATCAGATGTATGATTAAATAAAACATAAATAAAAATTAAATATCTTATTTATCGTGTACGTTTCCAAAAATATTGAGTGTCTTTGATAAAAACCAGCCAGGCGGACAATAAATGTTGTGCCATTTTGCAGATGATATTATTAACTAAGGAAATCGAAAAACTAAATTTATAAGAACCACACAAATTAACACCAATGAAAAATGAAAACTTAGATTAATCAATTTTTTCTCAAATATTAAGCAAGTTTAATTTAAGATAGCTGTTGCTACGACTACCGAATTATATTAAATAGAAATTTTAAATCATTTGCAAATATTTATATCGGAACAATCAATTCTAAAATTTGGTGACCAGATCAATCTACATGTCCCTATCAACTAATATTTGTCACCAATGTATTGGCTGATATATTTATTTAATGTCCTGTACAAAAAGTTGAGATTTAACAAAAACCTTGGAAACTATAAATAATTTTCAATTTTTAGTGAAGAGATTCGGCCATTTATAATCATTTTCTAATAAAAGTTAATTGTGAAGCAGAACTGTCAATTCTCTGCTTTCCCTGATTGAATACTCTACTAAACGAGAACATTGATATTGTAGAAGAATAATTTTTGTAGGCAGATATGATATCACTTGCCTTAACAATGAAAGCCGTAAACACTGTGACAGAAGTTGAAAGAGTTCAAGAAAGCACAATTTCTAATCTAGATGGACAACATAATTTATTAAAAAGTAATTAACATAGTTAATCAATAAACCTGCATAGGCAAATGTAATCATTTTGCTCCTCTCAAGCGGGGGTGCCCATTTGGAAATCAGACAATGGGTGGATGGAAAAGTGATTCCCTGTTCAACAAATATGAAGATGAACACATCAGAGACTCTTATTGCTTTTAAAAAAATTCGTTAGTAGAAGTTTATTATAGTTAAATATTGTGCCAAAACGTATTAGAACTATAAAAGATTTTAATAACATTTTCAAAACATAGAACAAAATATTTCCAAAAATTAACATAAAGTAAAAAGAAATAACACAAATTTTTAACATGAAATGTAATCTAAGATGTCTGTCAATGTTCATTGTTCAGTTTCAATCATGGGAGATTCATATGAAAAATTTGTTCTTATTTTGCTCAATTATTTATTTTTCTGTTCTCTTATTATGCCGCCTGACTAACGCGAAGTAAAATACATAACATCTCAAATAAAAACAACGAAGCAACTATGATTTGCATCCCCAGCTGACATTCTAAACAAAACGAAAATTTTTTTTCACTTAATGGTTTAGTAAATGAATCAAGATGAGGAGACTTTCATTGTTTCATATAGCCGTTGTGTTGAATGAATTGAATTTTATTTGGCAGAAGCACAGGAGACTAAGATACATCTTAACTAATATTGTGCATCGAAATATAAGATATGAGTAAACGAAATAGAAACCCAAAATGAAAAAGAAATCATGACAAAAGACAACAAAAAACAAGAATTGGAATATACACAGTACATAAAAAATATATTAGGCATATATAAATATGCCTACATAAATACACATACATATATTCAACCATACATTCACTTTCACATTCTATAAAAAAATGCAACATAATGCATACACACCTAAATAAAAATATATTAAAACAATCAAACATGTACTCATGAGACAAAGATAGATAAGCAAACATTTATTCAAGCAGTTGTGTTTAATGAGTCCACGCCAATGTCAAGTTTTCTAGATTAGTAGATCTATCTACCTGACGATATGATTTAATACTTTCGGAAAATTATGAATATAATCTTTAAACAAGTACCTGGAAGATTCCTTGCAATATCCTAACAATAATGAGCATAGGAGCACCTGCCAACTTCGTCAAAATAGGAGTTGCTAAGCAGAGGATCGAATTAACTCCTACAGCAGCAAGCAGCAACCTCTTACTTCCAAACTTTTGTGCCATCAGACCACCAAAAAATTGAGTACAAATATAACCATAAAAAAAGGAGCCCAAAATGATGCCTTGCAATCCAATGCCCCAATTAAATGCACCATCAACCTGCAGAGATGTGATTCATTGTGAAATTGAAAATTAAATGTAATTTGTTTATAGATATAAAAAATAAATTTAACATTAAAAGTAAAATTACAAAACAATTCAAAAATAGAATTGATAATAATTACTATAATGATGATTTATATAGCGCAAAGGCAAGCAACTAAAGCACTCTTTGCCTGAAACCATGGTGCAACACATTGAACCTATAAATAATAATTGCAAAGTATGAATAATACGAAAATACAGTTATCGTTAGCAACATTATATACAGCAAAATTAAAAAAAGATTCTTTGAAAGTGGCCAACGAAGTGCATGCCCTGATGTCTGCAGGCAGTGTGTTCCAAATTTATGGTAAAGAATGGCGGAAAACTGCGGTTCAAGCTCTCTAGGCAGGTACATTAGTTTGTAACCAACCATTCCTTTTCTCTACCCTCCCATAGTGTCATCTATAGGTAAACTTCTTAGATACCTTCTCCAAAATCGTATAATAGCGTTTTATATTGCTTCAGAACATTACCTCAATAGGCTTAACAATAAATAATGCCTCAGTTGTTCTTCTTCCTAAATATTAATAAAAGCCAAATTTCCCTTAGCCGGTCTAAAAAACGAAATTGATACCCATATTAACAAGCAGCAGTGAGCCACCTTGAAAAGTTTAGCTAGCAACTTTAATTACAAGTTTTAATGAATGACACGTATATACATGTAGTTAAAAAATCAAACGATTAGAAACAAAAAGTGTTAACAAAAGGAAATATAAATTTGAAGAACAAAACAGACAGTGTTCAATACCCTTCTTTTATAGCATTTAGAAAGGTTCACAACATTACAACATAAACAAAAAATAGAGTTCCAATCAATCAATCAATCAACCAAACAATCAATCAATTAATAAATTAATCAATCAATCAATCAATCAATTAGTTTGTAAAGTGCCATTTCCGCGATGTTCAACAGCGCTTCTCAATGAATTTTGCAAACAGATAGGTCAAGATCCGATCTGAACTTCGTAAGTGATGGAGAAGTAGTCAGAGAAGTAGGTAGAGAGTTCCAGATAAAAGGGCCAGAAAAAGCAAATGCAGATTTAGCAAAAGAGTGTTTAACACGAGTTAAAAAGAAGTGAAAACAAGAAGAAGATGGTAAACCGGGGCGTTATGGTTCAATTAATATGTTTAATAAGTACTTAGGAAATAATTTAGCTTGAGACCTATACATTAGTGAACAAATTTTAAAAATTATTTTATATTTTATAGGTAGCCAGTGCAAAAGAACAAGATATGGAGATATATGAGAAAAGAAAGGGGCACGAGCAACTAGACGAGCAGCAGAGTTAAAAGCTTTACTTAAAGGATAGAGTATAGAATCAGGAAGACCATAGTAGAGCGAGTTACAATAATCAATCCTATATAAGACTAACGAAGTAACAAGAAGGAGAAGAGTAGAATCATCAAGAAAAGGCAAAAGTTTTTTATTCTACGTAGATGAAGGTAAGAACTTCTAACAACACTATTAATCTGAGAAGAGAGAGACATAGTAGAATCAAAGATAAAGCCTAGACTGCTGAACTTACGAGATACATCCAGAGTTTTAGAATCAGGTAAGATAATAGAAGCAATAGTAATAGAGCATTTAGATTTATTAAAACAAATTAATTCAAATTTAGAAGGATTAAGTTTGAATCACACAGAGTCAGACCAAGTGATATGTTTGAAAATAAAACAATTGAAAATGATCGAATATAAAATTTTGAAAAAAACTCTGATGCGTTTTGTTAATTTTTTAACAACTAATTGTAAAATGTTGCACGTGTCAGCCGAATATTGATCAAGTCATCTCTATGGCCTTCAATTTGTGAAAAATTTGAAACATATATGGATTTTCAATAGTCTTTATTTGAGACTTTTTAAAAAGTAAGTAATATGAGTGTGTAGTAAAAAATATAAAGTGTAATAAATTAATTTGTATAAAGTGTGTAGTAAAAGTGTAACAAATTAATTTTTTTGTTAGAACAAAAATATGCGGATCAACATTTTTTCTCAAAAAAATTAAAAATTATTAATAACTGAACAACTAATAAATAATTTAAATAAGTTTAGATTAGTGAGAATGGCATGTAACCACCTGCACTTTAGTGGCATTGGATGAAGCATTAAAGTTCTGACCTTCATTTGGACATTGGCTCTCACTTTTGCCTGTCGCATTCAATTCTTCAGCACTTTTACCAACTATTAATTATTTAACGTAATAATAAGAAACTTGAATTCAACAAAAAATCAAAAATGTCTAAATGATCATTAGAAGCATATTTCTAAAAATATTTCTAAAATATATTTTATAAAAATTTCAATGTTTGTAACATACTTGAAATACCGAAAATAATAACAATTTTGTAAAACCAATGTCAAACAAAATTACAACATTACACAAAGCTTTGAATAAAATAAATTTGCAAACTTGAGGCTTCAACATAGGTGTGGTTGATCATAGCAACAATGGCAATGTTCAAATTGACTCTCATACAATACAAGTTGATCATGGTCAGGAAAGCCATGATTGTTAAAACAAAACGACATGACGGAAAAGCTAAAGTTGAAGAGTATAAAATTTTCAAAATTTAAAATCGTACAAAAATATAGAAGCACATTATCTGTTCTGAAAACATACGTATGTTTGGAGCTACTAAAGCTGGTATCTTTTCTGTTTCTTCTTTATCGTCCAAAAATGCCTTGGTTTCAACTTTCTCTTCTGGAGGTTTTCACAAAGTATATTAACACACCACCAACAATATTTTCCATAATCCAATGAAATACCGCATTATAAAGTTGATAATTTTCAATTTGGTATTGTTAAAATAATTGAAACAAGTGATAAATTTTCAAATGGCATTGCTCACTTACAATGGTAAGTGAATTGAAAATTTAAAAACTGTTAACATATGGGCTTGAGCTATCTAGTCTTCATAACCATTACACATGCTATAGCAAAACTTTAGATTAAAAATATTTATCTAACTAATGTAATCCAACAGGTATTTGTAGATTGCTTCAAAAGTTGCTCATATTATTTCACTAAATTGAATGATGTTGCTTTTGTTTGTGAACATAATATTTATTATACATTATGTTGAAATAAAATAAATTACTTTATTTCCATTCTTCTTTGTTTTTGTATTCTTTAATCAATGTTCTAGTTTTTTTAACCAGCTTTTAATTAGTCAGTGCCACAATCATTAACTATTTTATTATAGAAAAATATGATGAATGATTATAGAATTTTATAATAAATAGGCTGCTAAAAAAAACATTTAAAAAATTAGTTCAACATGAATTCAAAACAAATTAATTAATAAAATTCACTCTATAATGATTCTCAGAGAGGGCAGGGCTACATGGGTCTTTTTGAAAAGATACTTTTTTTTCCTAAAACATACCATTGACGAGCGAGACTTCTTCTACTAAAAACCAGCATTCGACCAGCAGCTTGTCCAAGGTGTGATATTGAAGGTACTTCACCTACTCATCGACAGACCCAACCAAAATAATCTGGAATTTTACCCAGCCAACATTTGAATTCCAACACAGCTTTTTTAAAATCTCCTCAACGTTTTACCAATGGCCAATGCAAACTTTGATAGTGGGTGAGACATAATATGATGACATCCAGCAGCACCAGTAACCAGCCCCATAGCAGAAATCTAGACTAGCCCTCTAACCTGTACAACACCCCAGCATTAAAATTGTCATGACAAAAATCCCAAATTAATAATTAAAACTGAATATGGGAAAAAGTTAAACATGAATTCATTATTAACCTCCAGAGCCGTCAATCTGTTTCATTTCTACTGATGCCATGGTGCAGGCAAATGGACAAACTGTATGAAAGGAAAGACAATGTCCTGAATGATACATATGCTATGTTGTTAATATCAAATCTAATGCTAATGAAATTGAAATCATGCTTTCATGCCAGCCATTTCATTCCAGTTTTGATTTGAAGATATATAAAAAACAATGTGAATGAATTTTTTAGAAACTTGTTGAACACCAAGTTAGATAGCCAATAGAGTAATAAAAGATCAAATAACAACACATAGTCTAGGTAGGTCCTAGGAATTGTAAATCGAAAATGCCAAGCAGTATTTTGGATAGCCAACCTGAGCTCTGCTCTACTACAACTAATAGAATAAGTAACTAGCTAGTTAGGCTCTTAGACTGATTTTTTATGTTTTATAAGTTTTGAGTTAATGTGAGTGTGAACAAAAGTATTTACTATTTAGCTCTAGCACCAGTAGTGAACAAGTTAATTTATCTTTTACTTTTAGTTTTACAAATGCTAACTAGTTACTAATTAGTAATAGTTACTAATTACTAACTAGTTCTAATTACTAACTAGTTAATTGTAATTTGTCTTTTAGTTAGCTGATTAGCATTTTGTAAAGTAAACCAATGGAGTAACCAACATTTAACCAAATTAACTAACTACTAAATTAAAAACACAAGTCGGTATTGTATTTTATCTGTCTGTATTGTATACTTACTCTTCCTATAACTATAAAAAAAAACACATGAATCAGATAAAACGAAATACATACAGTACAGTACACCTACACATAGACATACACAGCAGAGTATATTTCCAATCATGAATTAAAATTAAGAAACTTCAAACCTTTAAAAATGAAAATATAAATTAATCAAAGATATATTAACCTTTAATACTCCAAAATGCCTAAAATAAACTTGACTCGGGTCAACGGGACAGAGTAAAAGATAAAGGTTGTAGAGATGATACGATTAATATTCGTCTAATAACATGTGCAACGTTCGGCATTCAACCCAAGGGGAGGCCTATTTACCAGTTTACAAAACCTTCTTATGGGTTGAATCAGGGATATGCAAAGAACCTCAATTTTTTCAACTTTTAATTATTTTCAGTAATGTCTCCCCTTGCTCCAAACCACATAACTGGAATAATAGGACTAATCGGTCAATTCGCGGTCGGGCTATTTGTCGTGCTTGGATTGTTGGCTTACGAAATTGCATGGATTTTAACGAGCAAGCTAAATGAAATATATACTTGATTTAATATGCTTAAAACATTGTAGTAATTCTATTTTATTTTAATAATGATTAATAGAATTATGTATTATTAAATTATTTTTGTTAATTTGAATATAAAAATTGCCTTTGGTCCGGTGAAATCCGGTGGCTTACTGAAGCCGAAGGTTGGCTTAATAGGATTGAACTATAGTCACCCTTTTTTTTACACTATTCGATCATGTTAAAAATTGGTTTGCTTATGAAATAAACGGCCTAAATAAATCAAAATTGTTATTTGAACAACTATCTTCATTATATTCAATGAATATTTTACATTCTGCTGGTGCTCATAAGAAACTGGCTGCTGAAATCATACGTTGGCTTACAGCAGTGGCTTACAGGGTTTCATAGAACTCTTACGATAGCACTTTTTTGTACATATAATGCTTTAAATAAATCAATATATTCCTATCACAATTATTTTTGTCAGTATAAATATAGAAATTGCTTTTGTCAGGTGAAAAACAGTGGCTTACTGAAGCCGTAGGTTGGCTTAATCGGATTTTTTCTCATGTATACAATAGGTATGAGATAAATCAATCAAACAATCAAACAATCAGTCAGTCAGTCGGTCGGTCAGCCAGCCAGCCAGCCAGCCAGCCAGCCAGCCAGCCAGTCAGTCAGTCAGTCAGTCAGTCAATCAACCAATCAATCAATCAAATTGAATGAACCAAATAAACAAAAATAAAAATAAATAAAAAAAAATTTGCAAGGCCTGTTCAAACTCGAACAAACAGTTAACCGTTACAGATCTACAAAGAAAGAAAAACACAGTAGTTGCTTTTATTTGAATTCATTCAAAAATGAAAAGTCACGGTTAATTAAAATTTTAAAATGTCAATTTTTTTTAAAATTCGTATTTTAAATAGACAAATATAACAAAATATCGACCTATAAAAATAATTATTATCTATTATTATTATCATACACACTCCTTAGAAGTTCTCGAAGGATAATAAACCACGTAACATGAACATTTAGTAAGAACAGTTCACAACATATCATAATGACTAAATCAACATACTAAACAAAAATAATTTATACATGCATGTATACAAAGTAAATCAAGAAATATCCAAAAATTATATAACCAATTTAAAAAAAAACTAGAAACCAGTCAACATTTAATGAATAAATAAATAAACATTATTAAAAAGATTGTTCAAAAAGGTACAATTTAAGGCGACGACGAGAATGAAATGTAGTTTGTTTTGTTGGTGTGGTGTTGTGAAGCGAAAACAAACATCACACAAAACTAGTAAGAAGTCGCAAGAATAATAGTCAGTCACCTACCTATAATAAAATTACTCTCAGGGCCCTAGCTCACTTATAAACATTGACTCAACTCACTTACCTACAAATTTGTATTTCTCGTTTTAGATGTTTCAAGTATTTTATTTAACATATTTTAGCGTTTTTATTTTACTTGAAGCTTGTTAACTAATGTTAAGCCCTAGCCTCCCTACAATTGTTTAACTCATCTCAGTCCCTAACTTACCTAATAATTAAATTAAAGCCCGGTTCACGGTAAAGAAAATATAAAGTTGAAGAGAAACATAGCAACAACGACACCGAATGAATGGATGTTGTGTATGTATGTGTTGTATTGATGTGTGTGTGTGTGTGTGTGTAAATGTGCGGGCGCGCACTCTCCAGAAACTTCACTCACTACGGACGAACCTCCATTGCACCGACCATCATCTGACACGCATCGATGGAATGTATTTGACTGGATACTAAAAAATAAATTGAAAAAAAAATTAACTAAAATAAAAAACAAGCAATTGGAAAAAATAGGCAACTTATCTTTTTGAGATAACACTCAATCTTTGTTCAAATTCGAGTACTTTCAAAGGTACAATGAGACAAAAACAAATTTACCTTTAACATTATCTTCGATTTGTCATCGGAACGATCATCATGAGACCTCCATCCGAAACGTGCTGATGCCCACCACAGCCCACCTCTCATCATTCTGTAGACATTTTTTTAATAGCGTATTAGTAAATCAAGGAACAAAGGAACGATCGATTAGATGATTAACTGAATGATTGAATAATTGGTTGAATGAATGAGTGAATGAATGAATTAATTAATAAATCAATTATTCAATTAATGAATATAATGAATTAACGAATCAATTAATAGAAGAATAATTTAAAAGGTTGAGTGATAAAATAAACGAATAAGAAAAATAAAAAACGAAACTAAACCTTACTTCAAAAATCGTCGTTACTGTACTTTCCATTGCACCGACCACCACCATCTGGTCGGCACACAAAATACCATCCAAACTTCAGAGTGTCAGTCGAACAGCCAACGAGCTGATTCTTCCTACACCACCATCATCATATGTAAATCATTATGAGATCACCATCTAAAACGTGCTGACTCCCACCACTGCCCACCTCTCATCATTCTGTAAACAAAATATTTTATTTGCGTAGTAGTA